GGTGCGGTTGGTAGTGGTGTGGAGAAGAGTTGCTGGTCCTGCTGACGTTGCGTGTCTTTGAGTTCTTGCCATCGGGCTTGGCATTGCTCAACGGAGAAACCCACTCGGCGGGCCACAGTGGTCCAGTTGGGACGAAGTTTTGGGTTTTCTTTGAGTTCGACCAGGCGACAGTCAGCGTCGCCGTCCCAAGCGTCCCAATCGGCCTGTCGGTTCAAAGGTGGTGGGGGTGGTTGCTTCCGCTTGCGTGTTGTGGTGGGTTGTGGATCAGGGGGTGTTGTTGGAGTGTCGTCTGAGTCTTGTAAGGGTGGTGCTGGTAAACGGATGGGTGGTCTGGATGGTGCTGAGTCACAGGATGAGGTGGTGGATGGTAAATGTATAGGGTGGTTGGGCGGAGTTGGAAGTGGCTGAAAGTGTTGGCGGAAAGTGGGGTCCGCTTGGTGGCTGTGGTGGAGGAAAACCGTGTGGAGGTGTGCTACAATATCTGTTGCTTGTCGAAGCAGGTTGTGCACCTGCGAAAGTGCCACTGCGGTTTTGTGTATGAGAGTTGAGGTGTCGTTTTGTAGAGGTGTCGGTGTGCTGCTCATGGGTCTGAGATGTAGGGGTGTGCAGTGGTCAAGAATCGTCACAGGTTGCTGCGGCAGCGCGCCAAAGCAGCCGGACAGCGGCGAGTCTGAGGGAGCGCGTCATCCCGAGGCCGTGCGTATGAATTAAGCGAGCATCAAATTCCCACAGGCAAAAGTGCGAGTATGCAATGCCGGTTGGACAATTGAGTACATGACTTGAAGAATCACTCTCCACGAGGCAGAATCTGACATGTGAAAGACTCCTTCAAAACAGCCGGTACAATTCAAAAAAGTTCTCAGCAAACACTGCGGTGCTAGAAAAATTGAGGGTTCAAAATGCCCGTGGCCGCTGCAGGAGGCTCTTTTTTGCTGCTACAGCAAAGGTTGGGTGGTGGTGTGAGACCAAAAGTGGATGTGGAGGTGGTAGTGGTGTGTAGATGTGTGGTAGTGGTGTTATGGGTCCGGTGGAGTGGAGTTGGTGGACCAGGCCAGTCCTTTGACAATGGCGTGGTCCGGGTGGATCACCCAGCAGCGGCCCTTCTGATGAAAGACCGCACCATGGTGGTCGTTGAGGAGGTTCATGGCGTGTTCCTCACCTCCAGAGGTATACTTTGTGGCAGCACCCCAAGCAAGGAGTGTGATGATAAGGGAATGGGAATTCTTGTGGAGTTGCCAGGTGTTGTGGATGATGCGGGCAAGTTCGTTGTGGTCATGGGGTTGGTTGTGGGTGATGCGAACGCCCTGGGCAAAAAATCCAGGGTAGTTGGCAAAGTGGAGTGTGCTGGGTAAAAAACGGCCTTGGCGTAGAATGTTGGAAATGTTGCCGACGGGGCCTGTGTGGCCTGCGTTGATGTGGGCGACTTCCCGGTGGGTTGATGTGGCGCGGGAAACCGCAGGTGGCTCTGGTGTAGTGGCTTTGGTGTTGAGGAAGGGAAGTGAAATGGCGTAGTACTGGAATTGGTCGTATTGGTGAGTTGTGTCGTTCCACTTAGCGTGGGTATATTGTCGGAAATCGGTGATCTCCTTGTAGGTGATGTTGCAGTCTGTGAGGATATTGGCAATGTACTGGTGTTGTGGTCGGTTGGGATTGTCGAGTTGGGTGGCGTGGAATTCGAGCCATTCCAGGATTTGGTCTGCAGGTGTAAAGGTGTGAAAGTTGGGTGGAGGTCGCCAACGGTTGATTGGGCGACGGAGGACGGCTGTGGTGGGATATTGAGAGGGGTCCGGGTTGGTGTGTTCGGTGTTGGGGCGTAGATCAATGGGTTGTGGTGGCGAACGACTGCGGGATGGCGTAAGGCTAGATGTGTAGGTGGATGTTGAAGGCGACCGCCGTCGCCGGGTTGTGCTGTGATGTTTGGAGTGGCGGTGATGGCGATGTCGGCGGCGGTGGCGGTGGCGTCCTCTGTGGTGATGGTCGGACTTGCGTCGGCTCTTGTGGTGGTGGCGGCGACTGCTGTGTGGTGGTTGTGGGGAAGGTGGTTGCGGTGCTGGTGAGGCAGTGGTGTCAGGTTTGTCTGGTGCTGGTAGTGAAGTTCCAGGCGCTGGTGTGGCAGATACCAGCGATGGGGATGCTGAATGTTGGGATACGGTAGCTGGTGGAGGCGTGTTTTGGACTGGTAATGGATTGTCCTGGGCAGTCGTGGGGATGGGTTGGATCGGTGGTGTTGGGTCCGATGGTAGCTGCTGTTGAGGTGGAGGTTGGGTTGGTGTTGAGGCGTTGATGGTTTGTGGAGGCGGTGGCGGGGGCAACGGTTGGAGTGGAGGCTGTGTGACGGGGGGAAAAGCTGAATAGGGTTGCCAAACGCCCTGGGGGATGGCGCATTGGGGGTCTGTGGATGGATAATTGGCAATCGCAGTCTGTTGCTGTGTTGGAGGGGGATGTGTCAGTGTAGTGGGGGGAGGAAGTTCAGCCGGTGGTGTGGGATGAGGTGGTGGCAACAGGTAGGACGGGGGAGGTGCTGCTGTCGGAAACACTGGAGTTGGATGTGTGGGTTGCGGTGGCACGTGACATGGTTGGACAAAAGTCCAAGTGGATGGTGTGCCGTAGGTCAGTGCAGTGGCGGTAGGGGTGGACACAAACGGTGGTGGTTGAAATGGTTGTGGTTGTGGGTGAGGGTATGCCGATGGTTGTGTCGAGGGAAAGGTGGGTGCAGTTGATGGTTGTGGCATCGGCCATGTGGGTTGAGGTTGTGTGGTAGGTAATGGTGGTGGCGTGGTGTGAGCGTAGGGCCACGGAAAATGCATGTCGTGGTCGTAGCTATGGCGCGGCGCGGCGCGGCAGCAAAAAGCAGCGGAGAAGTGCCGAGTTGTATTGTCTTGTTGTTGTTGAAGGTGTCATCGCTGGTGTCAGTGGTGAGTATGTTGTAAGGTGGTGCTAAATGTAAGCTTGTTGGTAGGTGTGTGTTCATGCATCTCGAATTAAGCTGAAGAGTTGTAATGCCCATCCTTGAGTTCTGTCGATGAAAGAATCGCGGCAGCAACATAGCGAACATAGAAACACGCACATGATTGGAAAACATGAAAAGAAAACTGAATGCTGAAATCTGAGATCAGAAGTTCGGAATCTGAAAGATTCTTCAAGAACCGTTTTTTGGCCCGGCGGCCGGTGTGGCGGTTGATTCTGTGAGGGTGTCGGTGCCTTCCTGTGATGTTCCAGTGAGCGGTGGTGCGTTGGGGTGGTTGCTTTCCCATGCAAGAACGGCGCCCCTGTGACGGGGATCACACTCAGCACCCGAGTGGGACGGCTGAGCAGGACACACTTCGAACTTGGATTCTTCAGTTAACGCAATTGTCTCAATGGGAAAGAAGGCGATGGAACGGCAAGGTGGAAAGGTCAGCTTAAAATGTATTGTTTAACACAGGTTTCACGACAAGCGCAAATGGAGGCGGCGGTCAGCAGCTGCAGTGCAGTGGGAAACCTGTTTGTGGGGAAAGTATCATGTGGAACCACCATGAATCAAATCTTGGAAAAGTAGGGTGACAGCTTGTGGAAAAACTCAGCAGGTACACAATGCGGCGTCCCGCATTGCTTCACGACCGATCTATCACTGTCTTCGGTGGGCAGTGAGTGATAGTGGTCCACTGCCCCCCTGCCTGTGGAAAAGTGGTGGGGTAAGACCCTTTGTCCAGGGTGGGACAACACACACAGACTCACTTGGGATAAGAGTTCTTACGAAGGCTGCCAAGTGACTAGAAAAGGCGAAGTGAACAAATTGCCTGAGTGAAACAGGTAGTGTGCAGTGCAGTCCAACCACCTCGAACGGGCAAAAAAACTCTGAAGTCCACGAATCGGAGCGGTCGATGAGCAACGGCTGGTCATGGGTTCTACTCACAACGGGTCCCAATAGGAAGCGAAGAGTCATCATCTCAGCAGGTACACTGGAGTGAAGTGAGGTTTCCACCATTGCGTGTAGCTTCGTTGGCATGCGTATGCGTAATGGCTGCATTCCCCACGCTAAAATGTCAAGAAGGCACCTTTTGACTGCAAAGGTTACACACAGACCCAAGTGTCCATATCTGGTGGAACAGCACATGAGCATCTTGCTTCCATGTGGCCCATCCCCTCATCTTTGCCAAGCAGATTCCGTTGTTCCGGATCCGCAGAGGCGACGCCGCCATGGCCGCCCTCAACTCGGCCGCGGCTGGGTCCGGCTCGGCGACGGCCGGCGCGGGGGGCGACAAGAGTGTGGCGGGCGGCCTCGGGGCCTTCGGGGCCTTGGGGATGGAGCAAAAGGAAGTCCAAAAGCCTCCCAAAGAGCTGACCTTGGAGGCGGGAAGGGTTGTGGAGTTGTGGGCGACTGTCGAAAGGAGCTTGCTACTACACACAGGGTTGTGTGGTGTTGTGAATTTGGAAGTGACTGCGGTGGTGTTTCGATGTTTCCTCTGTCTTTTCGTGCTGTGGTCGGAAGGGACATGGGTGAAGTCGACTTTTGAAACCGATTTGAGGCAGCTTGCGCCGGTAAACACGCGCTCGAAAGGTGGGGCCCACGTGTCAAGAGTTTAGGCCCGGTGTCCCACAGACATCATAACCCATGTAAGGAGGATAGCAATTTCTATCGCTTCTTACGGGGACGAACGAAGAGCAGCGACACGATGGATTTGTGGTCTTTCCCCCCAGAGACCTCGTGGCGGTGGACCGCATGGAGCCCGTTGCAATCGCTGGCCTACTAGATCACTATATGTATATATATATATATAGTGTTCTTTTGCTGAGAATCTTATGACAGATGACGACATCTAGATCAGCTGGCTGATCCGCCTATAATATAGGTGAGGCATACATGGCCGAAAAACAGTACTCAGTTTCGGAAGCTCCGACGGCGGAAGTGTGGATAGAAATCGAGGAATCTATGAGAGAGCCTCCTAGAGTTCGGAGTTGGGTCTGCCGCCGCTGCCAGCTCTGTCAAGGCCCTGGCCACCACTGGACAGCCTCTCGTGATGCCGCGGATCAACGACGATCTGCAGAAGCTGGTAACTCGGCGGCCAAGCGGCCAAGCCATGTGTCAACTGACCAGTAGCCTCATGGGAGTTTGGTTTGAACTGGTTGCAGCGGCTATTTCTATGCTGAGAGTGAGCCTCGAGTGCTTTCAGAGCCTGAAAGTGTTTGGTTGAATCAGCAGTGCATCGAGAATCTGTGAGTTTTTCTGATGACGAGGAGGTGAGGACGGTGAGGACAGCAGCCCTATCTTTCTAGGTTTGCAAGTCTCTGAGGAACATCGTGCCAAGTTCGCACAGCACCATCGTGCCTGGCTGCGTTTCGACGCCTATTCACGCGCGCCTTGGCGTTTTGTTGTGGTGTCACTCAGTCTTATATTTGCGGCTCTTGTTTTGCTTGGAAAAGAGGCGCCGACCTAGAAAGGTTGGATCAAAGTTCTACTACTGAGCGCTCTGCTGGTTTTGCTTCAACGATCAAAAGGATCGGCCTTTAGCATGAAGGGTGAACAAGAGGTGAATCATATATTGTGAGGATTAGTTTTGCTCAAAAACTGACTCGGTATTGGCCAAACCGGATGAGCCCAGTCGTCCATCAGCCCCAAAAAGCTCCGCCATACGCGATGGGACGACACTGGGACCTGGTCCGGCTTGAACGGCTCGAGGTGTCGATGGCATTGGGTATTAACCAGATGCTTCAATCCATGTCCTATTTCATCGCTGGTCCAGTACAGAAGCACAGGCATGGCAAGAAACAAGTTTGTGAGTATCAGGTGGCGCTGGGCCCGCTAAGGCTTCTTCAAAACATTCTGTTTTTCCTTGTGGATAGAATGTCCGGAGCAGTTGGCGACTCAATGACTCGATGGAGAATTTGTACACTTCGTGGCCGAACTACTGTGGGATGTTTGATGATGTTTGAGAGAAATCCATGTCAGTCGAGTCTATCTTAAGATAGGGAGCTTCCCAACGATCCCGTGTGAAAGGCAAAACAGACTATTATATATAGTTGACCGAAGCCCAGTTTTTAAATACAGACTTGTAGAGTAGATGTACGTTTGCACTTGGGAGAAGTTCTCTTTGCCCTCCAGGCCGAGCTTTGCTCTGATCACCGTGATCGGTGTACAGGTGTGGCACAGTGGAGAGTTTGGTGGTCAATGATCTGGTCAACCACTGATAGGGCCCGTGTTTTCCGCTTCGGATTATCTCGGTCAGTGGCGAGTCATTCGAGTGTCAAAAAGGCCATTGCCTTCTTTCTGGTGAAGCTCGATTGGCGATCGATGGATACGGACGAGTCGGACGATGAGGGGGAGTTTCAGAGAACAAAGAAGAAGGATGTGAGCAGTGTCTTGGTGACAGGGGGAGAATTCTGTGGGATTTTCTGAACTTTGGGTTCTCGTCTGAGGTGAGCAAACTTTTTGAATATAAGGCATGCGACATTCAGACCCGCCGGACGAGTGGAGCGAGCTCCAACAGGCAAAGAACCCTCCGACAAGCGGTTGACAAGACTCCAAAAGCAAAAGAGAGCAAATAGAAGGACAATAGGGAAATGGACTTATATCGTTTACTAGCTCTGTCTCTCTCTCTCTCTCTCTCTCTCTTGGTGGCCCTCTCTTGGTGGGGTCAGACAGCCCAAAACTCCTTGCACCTCGTTGTGAAATCAGCACAAAACAGCAGGCTTGAAGTGTCCAAAGGACATCATGTCTCTCTCGCAGATGTTCCAAGGCAGTCACACTCAAATTGATTCTGTGCTCCCCCGCAAAAAATGTATATCAAACAATCACCTCTTGGATTGTGTTTCGTTCTCTCTTGACTATGTGAAGCCTTCACCCGCCGCTCCGGCTGAGGCCTGCCTCTCATCGACTTCTTCGCCATCTCGGTCACTAACTTGTCGCTCGGTGCGTTGCCACCACCAAACCGCCGGGTGCCGACGATTTGGGTTGCGCCTGGTCTGGCGGTTTTTCTGAACGAAGCGCGATGGTGCTGCAGGGGGTTTGGTATACCGGGTGGTGCTGAACATTTGAGGTGTCCTCTGCTCTTGATCCCAGCAAAACCGATTCGAGGATTCCCTGAATCAGCCCATGCCTGAGAAATCCGAAGCCATGCCAAACCCGTGCCAGCCAAACATGCACAACAGAGGTGTCAGCCATGGCACTAGTTACTAGTTCTCTCTCCCACTCCACGCAATCCCCCGGCCTGATGCCTTCGTTGCGGAAGCGCCGCCGAGCCGAGCCTTTTGGTTCCGGGATCCTCAGGTTGCCTCCGGTGTGGATGGTCTTGATCCTTTGGTTGGCTCACTTCATTGACTCCACGGATGAGGGGAATTTGGACCACCAAGGACGGAGCGGAGGGGGTCGGAGACGTGACGTGATGAGCGAGGTCGGCCGAAGGAGGGAGGCGACCAGGAACTATGTCGTGACAACCCGGTGAGACGCGGACACTTTTGGCCATGGGTTCGTGAGTCTTTGCTGTAGGTCATGATATCAGACTGATCTTGTCAACAGGTGAAGTGAAGAATCCTCATATAATCATATATATATATATATCACCATACAGAAATGTATGAAGCCACCTCTCCCCCCTTTGTGGAGATAGACACCGGTGATATCCTCATCTAAGAACCCGGCGAGCCGACAGCACGATTCCCAGGCCGGATAACTGCTCGAGTCCTGGCCACTCCCATCTTCTTCCTGCACGCCGCCTGGCCCCTCGACCAAGGACGAGTCCTGAGGGACCGCCCAAGTCGCCCAAGGGTTGGGCACTGTACTTACTGCAACCATGATGTGGGTATGGTATGTATTATTTTTCAGATTCAGAGATATTTAGAGAGTTTCAGAGATAGGTACCCCGAAACGCCTCCTTCCTACAGTTGCTCATGTGTTTTAGATGGTTTAGAAGCAGGAGCAGTTGTCCATGACTTTTGGGGTTGCATTGAGGATATAACAGGACCATATACTATGTTGTCCAATGTTGTCCCTCGAGTTGTTTCACAGCCTTTGCTGCGACCTGTTTGGGCTGGATTGAGAGTCCCCATGTCCCTATTGAACCAGTCGGATGAATGCCTAAGTACAGGTGTTCAGGATTCGTCAATTCGCCTTTGCCGGTTCAAGCCCCGCCGCTCCGCTACAGGTTATATTTGGTGCGCTGGTACATTGCTCCTCACCAACATGACTTGCTCCCGGTTCGACTACGAACGGTGGCATAGTTGCAGAGGTTGAGACGGACACCTGGGGTCTTGGTGGTTGCAGCGCTGTTGGTCATCCCCGTATATCCCGGTGGTCACAACGAGACTGCCTGATGTTGTGGTGGGGTTGGTGGAGCGAGGTGGGCTATTTGGATGTCTTCATGCGTGATGCCAAGCTGGTGCATGAGCAAGAGGAAGAGGATCTGGAGCAGGCCCTGGCCAGAAATTCGTGGGATCTGCAACTGGCAACCACCGTAGATTCAAGTCCAGGAAAAATGCAGCAATTGTTCACCGCATTTGACGGAGTTCCTTGTTCGGGGACCGAAAAGATTCAGAGGATCCCCTTTGCGACCAATGAGTATATATCTACTCAGTACTCATTTGGCTGTGGCCTACCCTGGTTTGGGGCTCCGGGTTTTGACCCATAGCCATTTCAAGTGCAAACTGAGTCCTCCAGTTCGACCTGAAAGGCTCGGAAAGAAGAGACCAGTCTACCCAGCCACCCAGGGCGAGATTTCGGGGTGTCTCTCCGTCCAAAAGGCCGGGCGGGCATCTCACCGGGTGTAGGTTGAGCATGACCTCCAGCCTGGCAGCGGAGGGTGGAGGTCTGGACCTGGGTTGGTTCCGAACTCCTGGGGGGCGCTCCGAACGGCAGGAGGTGGAGGCCTTTCCCCAGCCCCGGCGACGGAAGAGCACGCGCTGTCGGCACAACGAGGCGGCGATGAAAACCGTGGTGTGACCTGGTGCAACGAGGAGAGCGAGGATGGGGCAGGTTAGGATGTGGCTTTTTGTTCTCCAGACCACAGAGCCGGCAGAACGGTCTAATTGCCAACGAATGAACTGCACACTTCTACACAACTCCTCCACAGGTCTAGAACAGGTTTAGCTCAAGCAGTTTCTATTTGAACAGCTCAAGCTGCTGCTGCCTGCTGTGCTGTCCAGCGGTCTCCGGTGCCTGAGGTGTTGCGACAGTGTGGAAGACCTTTGGACATCCCATGAATGGGAGGCGGCCTGTCAAGAGTGTTTTTGTTTTTCTGCCACACGTCAGGCGTCTGGTGCATGGCTCTTCACAAACATGGAGAGACCCTGAAGCAGGGGGCTTTCGTTTACCTTTCACACAACACCCTAGCCCTCGATTTGATACACCCTAGATCGCATCTCGAAGTACCTGTCGGAGCAAGACCCTCAGCCTCCAGCAGAAGACACCCCTGTGACCAGCATGGCTGAGAAATGTTCCTGGTATGAAGGAAACCAGTGAGAAGGGATTGGATTTGAGGACTTCAGTTGAGCCGTGTTCTTCTTCTTTTTCTCGAGCAGGATGCTAATCCTGCCGTCACAACGCTCTGTTGGATGTTCGAAGGTGTCCTGCCACCTAGCCGTAGCCCTAAACCTCTGCTCCAAACATCGGAAATCTCAGGAGGACTACTTGGCCTCTGTTGAAACCTCTGGGCGCCGTGCCAAGAGCCGTGGACGAAAGACCCCCGAGCCCCAGAGCCCTGATGTGGAGGCCGCCAAGGCGGGAGGGGTCCAAAAGAGATGACATCAGCGGCATGTAGACGGTTGATGACAAAAGCACCTCCCCACAAGAATGGTACCTGAATGGAGATGTATAATTCTACGCAACTTGCTGGAAGATCATTCTTGCAACCTCTGGAGCCCCCGGTGTCAGTTCCGTGCCGTTTCAACCGGCTCCTTGTGGCCAGGGCCATGCGCCGTCGGAATGTCAGCAATGCTTAGTGAGTCTCAGCAGAGTCGAGACGTGCGAATGATCGCTGTACGCCGTACGCATCAGAAGGTGCTTCACCAGACACCTGACTCGTGCGATGTTCGCACTCACAATGATAACTAACGATGTTCTGTCGGAAAAAAAAAAACCGCGTGAGTAGGAGTGTCCTCAGAGGTGGGGGTAGGCGGCAGGAGCTTAAACCGGGCCTTCCCCCAACCAAAATGTTACAATATATATATATGTATTATATATGTATAACTGTTCCTGATGGGGTTGCTGGTTGCAGAATGCGCTTGCTGCAAAAGGCCGACCTCGCTCCGGCAGAGGCAGCTTACCTCCCTTTCGTCCGGTCCAAACGCCGAGGCCCAAGCGGAAGCGGCCGCGGGGCCACGATCACGTCGCCTGGTTGGTGGTGGGTCGCTTCACCACGGTGATGATTTGGCTGTGGATCGGAGGAGGCGAGGGCGTCTCTTCGGATCGGTGAAATATGGGACTGGAATGGAGAAACACCAGCAACGAGGGTGGTTGAGTCAGTAAGTCACTACTATAGACTATAGGAGTCTTTTGAAATGTGCTGGACACCCAGGATTTAATATACAAAACCTTTGGAGTTGCGAAACACTAGAAACAACTTTGGAGTTGCGCAACCAGACAGTTTTTTGGCACTCCTTGTATGCAACGGGTGTGCATCGTCGTTTGGTGGTTTGTGTGGCGCCCCTCTTGATAGGCCTGACGCTGCGGGACCACAAGACCAACACCACTGAAAGGGAGCTTATTGTAGTAGCTTATTGTTTCTAATAGCTTCTTGTTACTACTAGCGAGGCACTTGTTACTACTAGTAAGAAGACTTCGACTTAGATCCCTGAGGAGGACTTCCATGTTGAAGTGACCTGGAGTGAAGTGACCTGATGTAACGAAATTCGGCTGACATGGCCAAGCGGATCGAGTCTTGAATCCAGGTCCGACTGACTCGGCTGACTTGGCCCGTCGCACGGAGTCAGGGCATTTTTTCTTGTTCTTTTTTCGGTGCGGGATGCGTGAGGCTTCATTCATATCACCAACTCCTTGCTGGACTTGGAAGGCACACCCAAGGACCTGAATGGCAATATTCAGGATCAGGCCAGGAAGGGGAGTCAATGAGCTGTGAAGATGTATAGTGTCCCCTAGCTGATGTACAGAGTAGCGGAAGGAAACACCCCTGGTGTAGTAGAGCATGCTCAAAAAATATGAGCTAGCCTTCTTGTTTGATCTGGCACTGGTTTTCTATTTGTGGGGAAACAAAACCATCTTCAGAGTTTCGAGATTGATTCCCATCTCATTTCCCAGTCTCATTCCATGTCCATTTCCTTCCCGGCACGGTGTGGCCCACTACCCGCGGCTAAGCCGTGTGGCCCCAGGTCCGCCGGGAGCTTGGCCCGCCGCGGAAGCTGCTGGCCCAGTGGCCGGAGCCGGCACGCTTCTTCGAGGCGCGGTGCCCCCCCCCCATGGACGGTGCCGCCACGGACGGGGTGCGCGGGGAGTTTTGGTTCATCAATCACCTCGTTGAATCTTCTTGGCTCTTGAAAGTTTGTGTTGAGCCTTTGTGGTTTTTCTGGGGTCTTGTTATGCATGTTTTAGGGTCATAACTTTCACTTCATTGTTTGGATTGAATGAAGGGGATAATTGTTGAGGTGGTCAGAGTTTCTATGTGTAGGTTCAGGTTCAAATTTTACCAAGTTGCTCTTCAAAGATGTCGAATTATTTGCTTCAAATTCATGTATTGATTGAGGTTAGGCGCCGTGGTTCCTGTTTGGTTTTGCCTATCAAGCATCCTTCAATCCAAAGCCAGTTTGGCACAAATTGACTGAACCGATGTATTGTCCTTTTTCTTTGACATTCTGCCACCTTTTACAATTTTTTTGGGTCTGCGTGCCAGCAGCGTTGGTGCGGGCATTTGGAGATGTTTTTGATCGGGGTTTCCCGTGTGTTTTGAGTTTTGCCAAGGTTTCAGCACAACTCATCCTTGCTAGTTGAAACTTGAAACAGATCAAACTCGGGAACAACCCACCCGGGTCGCTTTGCACCTCGTGCGGGAGGTGTTGTGGTGAAGAACCGCCGCAACAGCACGGCCTTTCCTCAGGTCACGAAGCTCCACTGCAACAGCAGCAGCGTGGTCATTGGCACGCCCTTCAACGTGTGTCGCAGTCTGCAGTTATTTCGGCACCGGCGTTCGGGACGTCCCGGTGAACGCCGGGCCGGGCGAACGCGACGCGAGGAGGTGAGTTTGATGCCCTGATTGGTCTGCTGATGTAGCAGCATCAACCCCACTGAGGCCATGACTCAATGGGTGAAAAACTCATCTACTTCTGTCGCAGTCTCCACTGAATCCTGGAGTCTGTGCACCACCTCAGTCTGTCCAGTCTCCCAATTTTTTTTGTCCCGTTTGAGTCATGAGGCACACTGCCCCACGTGCAGACGAGGGTCTAGGCCGGCTCGGTGGGGCTGTTGTTTCATGGCTTGAAGATTGCGCATGGGTTTTCATGCATGTTCATTGCGATTCCACTGGAACGCGCCCTAGTCGGATCCTGCTTTTCTTCATGCACTGGAAAGTCTTGAAAGGGATTCAATTCTATGCCTTTGCTGTGTAGATGTAAGCATCATGTTTAGGCTGCACGGAAAGCTTGTATGCTCCTTTGGCCTGGCTGGGGGGTCATTCTGGTTCTACTCACAATTGTGAATAAACGACCATGACGTTTCCTGTGTTGATTCAACCTTGCTTCAAAAATATTGACGATTTCTATAACCAAGAGGACCAATGAGGGCTTCAGCTCAGAGAGCTGGTCAGCTCAGCGTCTTCAGACCAAGACCACTGTCTCAGGCCCTTTGGCGCAGATTGGTGAGTTTGAGATGAAAGCTGCATGGTGTGAACCAGGCAAGATCTGGGGACTAGTGGGAGGTATCCAAGCGTTGTGAGACCAGAATTGAATAGCCCAATTGCACACTAATGATCGTGATTGAAACGGACATACAACCATCAAAGACAGGAAAGGAAAAGGACCTTGCCTTCTGATCAGGTTCATCATGTAAACAAAAAAAACTATATATAAAATTAAGATGGACGGCACCTTTTGTTATTTTCCCACAGATAGTGATATCTTGTGCTATCTGGGGTCTGAGTCTATGCTGGCTGCTGCACTGCCATTTGGAAACCAGCAGAAGGACAACCAAGGGACAACAGGAGGACACGAAGAGGAGGAGAAGGACGACAAGGTCTGGAGACTTCTGGCGCCGGACAACAGGAGGACAAGCTGTGGAGACCATTTTTGGCAGCCGCGGCCAAGCTGGCATCAGGAGGACAAGTGGAGGAGAAGAAGAGACAAGAGGAAGACAAGAGGAGCAAGAAGAGGACGAGAGGAGGACAACGGGGCGACAAGAAGAAGACAAGAGGTCTGGAGACCGACCGGCTGGCAGCCGCGGCCAAGCGGTGGAAAAGGAAAAGGAGAACAGGAGGACCACGCCCGCACACAGCGTGCACCAGCGCGGCCAGAGGCTGTGGCGTCCCCAGGCGGAATCAAGCGCCCCAATGCGGGAAAACAATTGCACACGCGCAAGCCTCCCCCTGTTGTTCTCTTTTTGCGGGGTTGTCTTGTAAGAAAAAGCTGTCAGGCCGTGCCGGCGAGCCCCCCTTCCCTTCTTGTCGCAATCTTTTCGGCCCTGTCCTCCTCATGTTCTTCTATTGCCTGCTTGTTCTCCTTCTTCAAGTGTTCATTGGCCGCGGCTGCTAGCCTATCTCCTGTCGTGCTCCTCTTGTCCTCTCTTCCTCTTCTCCTGGTTCTCCTATGCTCTCCTCTTGCTGTGCTCCCTCATTCCCTCAGGTTGTCCTGTTGTCGTCCTTTCGCGTTGTCGGGTCGCAGCCTGTCCTTTTTGGTGCTGTTGGTGTGTTCATGTTGTTTCCGTCCCGTGTCCTTTTCTCCTCTGCTGTCCTCCTCATGCCTTCCTTTGGTCTTTCTGTTGTCCTGCGGATGTCGCGCTGCTTACGTTGCTTTCCGAGGCAGGGGCTGGAGCTGCGGCCGCCCGCCACAACAACAACAACAACAACGACATTTCTGGTATAGTTATGCCAATCAACAGTCTGACCGAAAACGGGTGGCCCAAAGCTCGCTCGCGTGAGCTCGCCAGGCCGCTGTCGTGCCTTGGAAAAGCGGGGCCGACAGTGGCAGCTACGCTCGTTGGGCGAGGCAGAACTTCATTGATCTCTGATTGGATGAAGGGGTGGCGTGTTTTCATACAGATTCAACCCTTTCCAGGAAGGTTTTTCTAGAAGTCATAATGCATTTAGACCACACTGATCTGGGTTGAGCCCTTTTTGCAGTGTATCGGTCAATTTGGAGAAGTGAACAGAAATGGTCGCAGGAAAAGTACCGTGTCCCAACAAGCCTCCTGCAGAATGCCAAAAGCGGATTAGTATATTGCTTCCTTACCTAAAAAGGGTCAGCAAGGTCAACAATGTTTGGAAATGTTATGAAATGTTTGGAACAAGCATCCTTGTATAAGTCAAAAAGACTTCCTTGGAGGAACCATGAGATGGAAGGTTGAGAACCATGAGATTGATTTGAAGGGAGGTTGTAAGACAAAAGGCAGCATGCATCGATACACTTGAAAACCATTGTGTTCAAACAGATTCCAAGCGCCAATTGAACAACTGATGTTTTTGAGCAGTCTTTAAAAGGAACAAGTGGATGGACATCACTGCAAACTTTTAAAGAGATCTCAAAAGAATCGGATCTCGTTGGATTCGCAACATTCATTTTGAGGAGTCAAACTTGTGGACTTGGGTCAGGCATGTGGATGCTATTTGGTTGCAGCTTGGTATTCAATCTTCTAATCATGTCCAAATTGTGGGATTTGAACGGACATCCAGGAATGACACAAAATCCAGCTACGTGGTATTCTGATGGGTACATACACGAAGTACAACCATTGGTTGTTCACGAATTACCATGTGTCGAGGTGTTGAACTGT